TTTATTCACTCGTGTAAAGTCGTGCACCGCTCGGGAGAATTCGGAAATGCAACAGTTGGAACAGCCGTAAATTCTCCCGAGTGGTCTGTATCTCTGCTGAAGACACAGACGTCCATCCCTGTGAACACTGAGACGTAACATTTCAACCGTTGCATATATTAGCTGCGACATATGAATCAAGATGCTATGACCGAAAAAATTTGATTGACAGATGACTGTTGATATATGATTGGCTGATTTTAGGTGTTCAGGCTGACGTATAAATAACTGGCCTGCATAAGATAATGGAAAAAAAAACACAGATTTTCAGACAGGATTTTTTTTTAATAAAAATGTTCTAACTTTTGGGATGATATAGTCTGATAAAGAGTACATTTATATACATGTTTAAGCCAGAATGATTTGACATTTAAATATGATTTCCTTTGACTTTAAGGCAATTGTTTGTAACCTACTGGATTTTTTTTATTCAAATAAAACACTTTATTGATCGAAAAAGGCTATAAAGCGAAGGGCTCTGAGTGATTGAGTCCCCTCCCCTGAAGCCTTTCACCTGGCCGTCCCTCGCGCCCCCCTCCCTCGGCTTTCCGCCGTTGCCAAGGTTTCCGTGTACGCGCTGCCTGCACCAGCGGCGCCGCGCCGCTGTCATACATTAGTGCCAGACATGGCGGCGGAGCTACAGCCCGAGTGCATTTCTGCTCTCCCGTCTTCCTGGACTTATGGGGTTACTCGGGACGGACGCGTCTTCTTCATTAAGTAAATATACCTTCAACATGCTCCGGTCTAAAAGTCCTTCATCCGGCTTCTATTACGCACAGAGTCTGGGCTCGTTAATAATAATAATACATGCGTTATATTCTCCCTGCTCTGTGTCTCAACAGCGAGGAAGCCCAGAGTACAACCTGGCTGCATCCAGAGAGCGGCGAAGCGGTCATAACCGGACACAGGAAAACTCCAGGTAAGAAGAAACGACACCCAGCTGTCAAGTTTCTGTTAACCGCAGCGCGTCATGGGTTGTTATGTTTCCCTCTGCAAAAAAACAACAAAAACCGGACTCTTCCCACGCTGATAGAGTGAAATATATAGAGAGAGGAGCTCTGTCATCCCTGCTCCCTTCCTTAATGCATGAGTGGTCTCCTGGCTCTCGTGCTGTGGAAAGTAAGCCCCCCTCATGCCCACCGCTGGCCGCTCCAGCCTCAGGTTGCTTCGGTCACTCAGGTTGTCGAGTTGCCCGCCAGGTTAACGTAACTTGAGAACTTGAAAAGTGACTGTGTGTAAAAAAAACACCCAGGCTGTAAAACAGAGCTGCAAGTCATTCTTAATGTTGTTATTTTTTTCTTTTTTTGAATGATTAAAGGAAAGGAAAAGGATGCAAAAACAAAACCATCACTAACATGTGATCTCCTGTGGGATTAGTTCTGTTTACATCAACATCTACAGCAGCTGTAAACCTGGCTGCTAAGATGTTTCATATCAACAAAGCCTAAAAAAACAACAAAATACAAAAAAAATCTTCGGATTTGAAGTTGAAATTCAATTCATTTTATTTCTATTGCAACAATTAAAACACGTCATCTCAAGGCACTTTACAGATCACCAGATCATCCAGTCATATTCATTCATTCTATTTAAGGAAAACCAGTTGATTGCATGGACTCATTGATTCAAAGGCAATCTAAGCATGCTTGTGGCGACAGTGGAGAGGAAAAACGTCCTTTTTAACAGAATCAGAAATATGTATTAGAGCAGTAGAAAACGTTAGCACTGATTGGAAAAATGGGAGAAACAGTAAAGCTACATGAACCGGATGTTTTCTGTTTTTCCTTTCATTTAAAAACTGATCCAGGATACACTTTCAATTCAGTTCTATTCAGTTTATTTCTATAGCTCCAATTCACATCATGTCATCTCAAGGCACTTTCCAGTTCACCAGATCATCCAGTCAGATTGATTCAAAGTTTTCTATCTAAGGAAAAACAGTTGATTGCATTGACTCATTGACTCTTCAGCAATCCCTCACACTAAGCATGCTTGTGGCGACAGTGGAGAGGAAAAACTC